AAAATATTTTGACATACTTCAACGGAAAAATGCTACCCCTATCTTCAACCCCCGTCGAATAGCAGGTACAACCACCAATGTCTTAAATGAAGTATTNTTAAGGGCGGGAGGGGCACACCATAACTAGGCGCAAAGATTCGGTAAAAAAGCCAGGTATTTGAAATTATACTGTATTTCCCTTTAAGAAAATAAATAATATCACAAAACTGAAATAAAAGAAATTTTTTCATAATAAACAATGCGCACTATCAAAAAGCCAGCATACAAAACAAAACATTTTATTACCTCTTGGAGAGTAAACTAACCGCTGCGCTGTCCAAAAGTCATTTTTTTTTAAGTTTGTACCAGGAAACATTAAATTTTCTGTAAATGGAAACTGGAAAGTCTTGGAAATCATCTAATGACCCAGGTTGGCAGGGTCCTTTTAGAATCAGTTGACGCACTATTTCAGGAATTAAAATAGTATGTTTGAATAAAAATGGGTCGAGGGACCCAATTATTAAGTGATCCATGTAAAAACAAAATGTTTTCCCACCTTCATTCTCAGCAGACATCTTATCAGAATCGTTTTGTTCTTGAGTACTATCACTATCCAAATCCGAATTATAATCTAGTTACGTTAATGTTAAATCAGCAGAACCTAATGAAAAATCGGATTTTGTTCTCACCATATCGGTTGATGTTGATGGAACATCAAGAAATGTTGACTCCGTACTGACCGTACTCTCCGTAGTGTCAGGTTTATTTGGCACCGATTCCTCTACACAACTTTGAGTTTGAATTGTTCCTTTGTTTCTCTGTTAATGTATACGTTTCCATAATGAATACGATTTCGGATCTTCAACTGAAAATTAAGAACTTACGAATTGAAAGTTTTACAAAACTTTAATTTTGTTTGAGAATGTGCAGCATATTTTAACTTCTTCTATTCGCGTAACTTTCGAAAATCCGCCCTGGACAATTTCTTCTTTTTTCCATAATCAATTAAATCGACAAACTGTATATTCGTCAAAGTAACCATAACAAACCAGACTGCTACTACTGCACAAGTGCCACGCCGTGATACAATCTCCAATCTCATAGAAAATGATCACATTCGCATTAGACAGTGAGCGATATGGAATTCACAACTGATCGAGGTCGAGGTATTGAAAGCGAATATTGCCACGTTTATTGGTTTTCCGTGTTATATATCTAACAGTATATTTGTGAAATATTTAAAATAGAAAGGGGGCTAAGAACATTTTGCAAAGGGCAGGGGGGCATACTGCCCCCCTTGCCCTCCTGTGGCACCGCCACTGTTGAGGACTGTGTTGGGGTCCAGTGAAGATATCATGTACAAATTAGAGTATCTAACAAAAATTTACAAGGAATCGGTCAGTACTTGATGAAAATCCATAACGTTCTCGAGAAACACTTTATTGTGAGATTTTCACTAAATAGTTTCACAACTATTCAACAATGACTTCTTCGGACGTGTCTATACGCCCGAAGAAGCGAATAACACGTGTGGCCTCTTTGTAAAACTGTTCGATGAAAATCTCACAATAAAGTGTTTCTTGAATAACAACGTCTTACCATTGAACTTGTAATTCCTGGCACGGATCAGACGATGAGCAGTAAAATCGAAAATTCCAATCCAATCGAGCCAACGGTGAATTGACGATATGAGATTGATGATTGCAGCCAAAGTTATACTGTATTCTAAAAAGGGAGGGGAATTACAGAAAATAATGAAGAACCCATGTGTGAATGCTATTTTTCGTTTTTTGGCATGGTCTGCTGGTTTTTACGCCTGACGTTTCGTCTACTACTGCGGTATACATCAAACGCGGTGTGGTAACGGTCGCAATGCTCGAATGGGCTTGTTTCATGCTATAGAGAATGATACTGGTTTGCTTATAGACTGGTCGAGTTAGGGGTATATTATACTCATCAAGCCTAATCGGTCGCAAGATCTCTTTATATTTGCAGAAAAAAGAATAATTCGAAGAGCAAGAATTTAAATTGGCCGCGTGTCTGTTGACCAATGAAATTGATCATGTCTAGAGCGGAGTTGCCAAATGTATTGGTTTTCAATATCCAATCACAGATCTGATGATCCAATTTGACAGACGCCATTTTTGTTGTTATTGTTGTCAGTTCGGTTGAATACAACTGTTACAATTATCTAATTAAAGATTGTTTTTTTGTAAAAGGTAGGTCACGGCGGGTACCTATTTTGCTGTATATTCCGTGTCATTAGTTTACATTCTAAAAAATATTTTTTCAAGTTATTTTTGGATTGGTATGTTCTGGAGTAATTCTACATTTCACTGTACATATTTTTGCTTCTCTTTTCAGTCACCATACTGCTCCTTGGCCGAGATAAAATAAAAATTAAATCAATCCATCCTTCGATAAAAGACAAAGTCTGAAATTAATGTCATATAAATAAAAAGGCTCTATATACATATACCACCACCGTTTCAATTTTCCATTCTTTATTTCGGTACCAAGTAAAATTCATCGATCATTTCAAAATCTACTCTTGGTAAGTTGTCGGAAGTCAGCTTTAACAAAACATTCATTTTGAACTTATTTTAACAAAAATACGAAGTTTGTGGAAACCATTGACATTAGAAAGAGCATATTGTCACATTCACTACAGAAGGCGCTGGCTAACTGGATGACAATATGGCTAATATACCAGTAACGTTGAATTTATTATTTTTGGTGGGTAGCATGGGTAGCAATTACAGAAAATTTCAATTGATCGTTCATTTTCTCAGTAAAATGGAGTACCCATATCACAATTTATTGGTTTATTCGGCTTTGCAAATGTATGTCATATCGGATCAATTCTGCTTATTTTTGCAACATTGAGTTTCAACTTTTTCTTAGCTGACAGCTCGCGTAGGAACAAATCGTTTGTTCATCGAGTTTAGTTTGTGTGTGTTTTGAAAGTGTTTTAGAGATATATTTGAATATTAATATGGTGCATTCTTGTGCTCGCCAAGTTCTCGCGAAAACGAGATCTCGAGAGAACGAGATTGCATTCCCTACTCTCAATAATATGCCCCATATTCATTTGAAGTGTTTTGATTTGTTTTATCATTCTCTGGAATAGTCCGGAAATTACTTGCATATTCAGCGAAATATTCCTTCTGGGGCAATATTGTCGTGACTTTCAGAAAATTGCAAATAAAACTAGGCTGAACTTGTCCATCAATGTCGGCAAATTGATGAATTGTGTTAACTAGAGTATAGTTTATTACCGCACTGCACGAATAGCCCGTTGAATATGAAGTAAGAACACAATACCGGAAATGTTTCAAAACGAATATTGGAAAGTTTTTCTTGTCTGATAGAAGAACGAATTGAAAGACTTATTAGCAGTGGCCAAGCAAGCATATTTCTTGTCCCTCTGACAAACACCAGTTGAAAGGGTAAGGGAGCCAGGCTCCAACCCGACCAAAACCAAGATGACTTCCCACAGGCATATTTCTTTAAATGGAAATATCGAGCTGGGTAGGTATTGTTGTTTTAATTGAAACATCGTAAAAACTAACGCGACTAGAAAAATTTGGCCTGTTAGCTTAACGTGCCAGGGTCATATGTCTTCGATAGAATGCCCTTTCAATTTATTTTTTGAGTTTTTGTGTGAACAAGCTCCAATATTTCATTCAATTTTCATATTACACGAGAAATCTTGTTCAAATTTTCAATTATTATGTAGAGGGAAGAGAATAACGGATGTCCAGTCAAACGCAACAATACAATACGTCAAGCTTTCATATGAATATTTGGCATTATAAGTATGTTCGAAAGTGTGACATCATTTTCATATTTTGTAAAATTTTTCCTTATTATTAGCAGCATTGTTAATAACACTATGATGGATATTACTGACTTTGCGTTTATTATGACATACCAATTATTTTTACTAGTTCGGACTTCCATTGTCTAATATAATACAATATAATTTGAAATCTCTGAAAATACAAATAAAATTGGAAAATAAAATGAATAGTTATACCGAAACCCTCTCACGCTATCTGAATCACGAATCCAACCACTATCCACCTGCCAGAAGAGGAATCATCAAGACTCCAGTAGACCGTACTTTCAGGCTCTGTAATACGAAGGACGGTCTCGAAAAGGAACTAGGCATCACCACAAAAGATCTTCAAAGAAGAAAGAGGAAAGATAAAATTCACCATGAAACATTGTCAACCACTTTCAAAAAAACGCATAATATTATTTATGCGCGCACAATAACAAATGTCATCAGTTGTCTGTGCGCGTACCCTGACAATTATCATAACCTAACCAAGCGAATACCATCAATTTGTTTGATCTCTTTTTTTTTTCTATGTTTGATGGTTGTTCAGACACATCAAAAATTGTAAAATCGGTCCAGCTGTTCTTGAGTTATGAATGTTGTAACTAACAGTATTTTGTGACTTGAAAATATGACTCGATAGCTTTGCCAGCACCGACCTCAAAAAAAGTGTATGCCCATAATTTGTTTCGTAACTACCTTTGATATCATTTTGTTCATTAATGTCGTGTATTGCGTTGATTTATTTGGTTTAGAAAATTGTAATGTAATCACCTATAAATAAACATTTGAAAAAGTTAACGAAAATTAAAACTTAGCCACCTTACAGAAAATTTTGACCCACAGAAAGTATCGGTTACCTAACTGCGTATTTTGAAAATTATCAATAGAAACCAAAACTGCTTCAGCAAATATTTCTCTCAACTATTAAATATATCATCTTCGAGAACATTTACATCCGCACTCTCATACTCTTCCTCAATGAAATGAATTTTCCGATAGGTATATTTTGTTGATTTTCTGAATTTATTCCGTATATAAATATAATATTTTCAGTTTTCAGTCATTTATTATATTCTACATGAAATTCAGATGAAGACTTATATTTTTATACTCACAAATACATTAAGATTTATGCATGCTTATATTATATAAACTAATGAATTTTTTTGTCTTCCAGGGTGAAGTTCGTGGGCAAATCTAAATCACTCATCCAGTGAGGATGAACAACTTACCAAACTGTGAGTATTGTTAATGTTTTGTAAAGATAGAAGTTGTTTTATGATTTGAAGGCTTACTCATCACTGATTTCCTTCATTTCCATCGGAATTTCTTCATATCTAAATATTTTTATACTTTGGATTTTGGACGGTTTCCAAGTAGTAGAATAAAAAACCCCACACAGTCTTGTAGGGCAAAGAGTGGCGAATGAACAGTCATCTCAAGAACATGCTCGACAGTAATACCTGGTAAGTATACAGACAGGTGTGAAACCGAACATGGGATAAAAGCTGGAATATACTGCGCGGGGAGAAATCTGCATTTCAGTAACCCACTCGAATAGTAGATATACATCAGTCTTCCAGGATGAAGTGTATGCAATCTTGCAATGCGCAAAGAACAATAATTCGAGGCATCTACAAAATAAGCGGATCAACATTTCCACAGACAGCCAGGCTGCACTAGAAGCATTGATGAACCCAGAAGTGACATCAAGACTGGTCTGATAATGCTCTAAAGAACTGAGGAAACAGGTGAATAAGAAAAGATTGACTATATAATATCAAGGGCAACAAAAAATCTGACAAATGTGCCAGACACGGATCCTCAACTCCATATATAGGCCACCAACCAGTTGTGGGAATACCAAAATGTTTAGTACCCTCATGCGAAATATTTCATGCGAATATGAAACTATTGATCGCAAGAGGCAAGCAACTCATTATGAACAACCCGAATTGTATCTACAAGAATATGACATACGACCAGCAAGAGTCCTAAACAGGAAACAAGATTGTTGGAATGGGTGTCATGAAAAGATGGAACTAAAACGCAATAAACTCATGAGGCCGCAATGTTTTCTGGAGGATTCGAAGAAATGGACGAGTCATAAGGTTCGCAGGAAGCAGACAAAACCCCAAGACTAGTTGCAGAACCAAGTCAGTGATTTCAAACAGCCTACGTGGAAAGATAGACATAAACCAATTCCACAAATTATGAGTTGGTAGTGAACTGCTAAAAAAAAGTCTTGTCAGTAGAAAAAAACATAGTTTTCTAGTAGGCATTTTTTGTATCGCTGGCCTGAAAGGTGATAAAGCTGCCGAAAACCTTGTAAGGGAGAACGACGCAAGCGGTTTTAGTGGTATCGCATTAGCTTTTGCGAAACAAATACCTAATATCTGGACTGCAAATTTCAGGCTTCTAACAGAATACATCCTTTGGAGTATGTCACCAAAATTACAGCATGCCTACTCACAAGCCACTGCCGTCTGAATCATTATATGAAGAAACTTGGACTGTCAGAAGACTGTGAGTGTGGGACATCTCTATTTAGACGATAATAAAACAGCAGAGCACACACTTGTACTCTGTGCCTGCTATGCTGCGGACCAAATTTTGTTTTCAGCATTTGGCATAGTGAGTTTTGGACCTACCTACCTACCAAGGTGAAGCTAATGAACATATTCGATATTAGAAACCAGAAAAGTTGTCTTACAATTGAAGCTGGGGCACATAGAGGACTAATGTCGAAGCTTAGCTACGCATCGTTCCGCTTTACCACCTTGGGAAGCTTTTTTTATCATGTTCTTCGATCGATCTCAGGCATGGTGTCTCCGCGAGGGGAAATATCACAGCCTCTTCTCACTCAGGCGTGTCTTTTAAAGACATTGCTCAGGAAAGCCTCACTGACGAGACCTACGAGGAGTCGAAACAGAGCTGTCTGATGTTGGGTTATAAATGCTTTGTTTTTGAGTTATGGTTTCACCGAGTTACCTTGCAATACACCACTTTGAAGATTGTTGCTTATCGCATTGATATTCATATGCAGATTCTTCTTTCGATCCAACTTATGGAGTTTTCGAAAGGTAGATGTCATCGCCTCCATTGCCTGAACTTATTGAGATAGGATTGTGATTCTAGACTTTTGGGTGTTTTTGAAAGTATGTAGATTGCAAAGTACGATATATGAACTGTGAAACGCATATTGTTTACTCTTATATAAAACATTATGTTGAGATTAGATGTAACTTTCACAAGAAAATTTCCGGTAATTTTTATACAGGAATTTATCAATGCATGACAAAAGTCACAATTATTAATGGGTATATTTTATCTCCTGATGACGACAACTTCATTGGTGAAACGGTTATCTAGAAAAGTGTTTTAATTAGTAGAATTGGAACCTGTGTCGCAAAATGAACCTACTGGAATAATTTTTCCCGCATCTGGAAAAAAAACACTAACTGTCAACACAACAGTGTTGCAATTATGGTGTGTGTAAGCAGTATTTATTTTGAACTATAATTTATTTCAATTTTGTATGCCCACCTCAGATGAATACTAAGAATTGAAATTTCGTTACACGTTCATCAAAAATTTCCTCATCATTTGGTTTTTCTTTCTTTCTCCATGTGCATAAAAACGTCAGTTGTTTTAAAAATCATTTTTCTAGTATTTCCCTGTTGGATTAAAAGAATTAAAAAGATACAAATGTAATGCATTATTTAAAGCATTTTCATATTCTTGTTTTTATCCTGCAATTGAGAATTATGACATGATTGAAACGTTGTTGTCGACTAATTATTCACGTTCCTTCGATTCACAGAAGCAATAATTAAGTAATTGAAAAAATCTCACAATGAATTAATCATCCAGTCAGATTTAATTGTTGAAGTAGGTTTATTAATGTGCCCAAATTGACGGTTTCTGCGAAATGTCTTGGCGATTTTAACAAGCACATTCAAGAAGGAATGTTTGAAAATGTCTTATTTCTTTATTTGTTTTTTCTCCAATCTAATAATAGCAAGGCATTTGTTTAATCCGAGTTTGCTTTGTCCTCTTCAGCGGTTTCGGGCCTGAAATAGTCTCAATTGGATTAATTGCCGTGAATAATGTATTCACGACTAAGTGCCATTTAGTGAAATGTGTCATGAAACGTTCCCATTATTTATTACCAGGAATCTCTACATGTATCATCGAAGTAACGGAAAAAGAATTGAGTCAAGTCTGAAGCTGCTTTGGGAATGCATTTTTATCCAAGATTCCAGGACATCGGCTACGGATACACATCTTCACCGGCAGCAGGTTGCTTATCTTGATGAGAAGCTAGAAGTGATTCCGAATTGTGGTGAAACTAACCAGGTTCAATTCAATGCCAAGCATCGATTTTCTTCAATAAGATAAATGTCTCCAAACCGGATATAATAATGTCAGGACAAACAATTCCGCTTGCTGCTTCAATGAGTTTGTTGGGGGTTGAAATAGGCACCAATACGCATAATCATGTCGTCGGAATTGCGAAGTCTGTTTCTCAAAAGCTTGGAACACTGTTCCGAACCAGAAAACTGTTCAGACCTCAGCAATTTTTGATGCTTCATAAAGCTCAGATCAGACCTTCTTTGGAGTATTGTTCATATGTATGGAGCTTCGCCCCTAAGCATGCCATAAAGCTGCTGGATTCCATCCAGAAAAGAGACATCCACCTGATTGGAGACACGAATATCACTTGCAACTTTTCCAAGGTTTGAGATGTGTCTATCTTCTATAGGTACATTCACGGGAAGTGTTCAAGTGACTTGGCACATTTGATTCCACCAAGAGCGATACATATCAGAAATACGCGACGGACTGTGGCTGCTCATCATTTTGAGGTTCAACTCAGTAAACCTCGAATTCCACTATTCAAGAACTCTTTCATTTGAAGAATATCGTTTATGTGGAATAAATATCCTGAGAACACTTTATTGTGTGATTTTCACTGGACAGTATGAAAACGCTTGAAAAAGCTATTGTAAATCGTGTTTTATTATTATGGATACGTATACAGTGGAATAAATTCATTATTTCGGTTAAGGTACTTATTTTATCACGTCACGTCACGTCAAAATATTTTGACATACTTCAACGGAAAAATGCTACCCCTATCTTCAACCCCCGTCGAATAGCAGGTACAACCACCAATGTCTTAAATGAAGTATTGGCTTGTGATATATCGTTTTAAAGTTCTCTTCATTCTCTATTTAAATTTTTTATCACTTTCAAGTTTATTGCAACAGTTAAGATAAAATAAATTATAATCGTGTGATTACCGACATTCGATAAAATACACTCAAAACTTATTGCAATATACTAAAAACTTATTTCATGTTGAGGTATTGATACTGAGAAAGTAAGCAAAAAATATAGCAATGTTCATTTTAGATAGTATCCTTCAAAAAACTGTAAATAATTTCCGTGGCAACGTTAGTTTAAAACGCCTTGTGAACTTGTTTTGTATGTTACAACATTAGTTGTCATTATTTCAAGTTTAAAGTTCATTAACTTCAAGTCTGACAAATGGAAATGCATTAAATAACAGTTTTACAAATTATTGGTAACGGAAATAAAAAAATAAAATTATTAACTGTAGGAAACCATATCATTGGTCCCTTTTTCATTGAGGGCAACTTGAATGGCGATAATTATTTGGCAATAATTCAAAATGATGTCATTCCAAGTTTAGCAAATTCATATCCTGATCCAGGAAACCCTCAAGTTCCAGTGAATACGATATGGTTTCAGCAGGATGGAACAGCACTACATTACCAAGTTAATGTCCGGCAATACCTCGATACACCATTTTCCAATCGGTGGATAGGGAGGCGAGGATCGATTGAATGGCCAGCGCGATCACCTGATCTTTCGCCATTAGATTTCTTTTTATTGGTATATGTAAAGAGCAATATGTACAAAACTAAACCTTCAGATTTGAATGACTTGAAAGAACGAATAACGCTTGCGAATAGGTCAGTCACGCCTGATATGTTAAATAATGTTAGAAGACAGTTTTATTTGAGATTAGGATGTTGCCAAGACGTTCCCGGTGAACATTTTGAACATCTACTTCGTTAACATCCATACTTCTTTTTCGTATTCTACATTTAATTACGTTTTGCATTACATTTTAGTGTTTGAGTGTATTTTATCGAATTTCGGTAACCACATGACTTTAATTTATTTTATCTTAATTGTTATATCATTA